TTGATCAGTGGTTCTTGATATTTTATTAGCAGGGAACCACATTAAGGCCATGGCATCAGCTTGCTGATCAATTCATTGGTTGTAAGATTAGATCACTTCAACTTAATTGCTAAAATTCTGACAGAACATTTCATTAGGCTCTACTTAGTGTCAAAACAGACATTGCGTAAGGCAATACCACTACAGTAAACACGCTTGGGGACAACTACCTTATTAATATCATGTACTTACTCCAAACAATGGTGATACCAAAAACGGCACGGGAGCCCACTTTAGGGTTCCAATCCAGGAATTAAGAACCATTGGATGAGATGTATGATAGCACCGCATGAATCAAATATTGTTCAATTTCCACTTCTTTGTCAATGAGTGTGAGCATTTCAAATAATTGGGGTTAGAGGGGGATATATATATATATATATATCTCCATATCCATGTCAGGATCTATCTTGTGTTGTGTTCATTTAATTTCTGGAAACGGTGAGCTGGTTCTGTATAGTTATGTATCACTTGGTCCCCCACATTCACCACAATTCCAGTTTTCTAACACCATTTCCATGCTAACATTTAAGAAAATGTTCTATGAATTGGCTTCTTTTTTTTTCAGTGGCCACAAACCCACCTTTTATTTCCCCATGTCTTCAAAAGAACTTCAGTACCCTGGATTGACTCCAGGAAAATGTATTCCATCCTACTAAATCTCCGTCCTAAAAGCTTTCCTCATAAGAAAAATAGGTTTTCATATTCCTAAAACCATGCAGTTTTATGAAAATGACAACCAATGAATTCTGTAGACAAGAGGGTTTACCCTTGTCAAACTCTTTATTCACACATCTAACACTCAAGATACTTCAAGAAAAAAAAAATTTAAAAAAAAGAGTTCTGAGGCAGATTTTGCAATCTTAGAAATACTAAACTACAAATATATTATATATTTTTGAGATTTTCTTACTACTTCAAGATCATCTGTGGTTGTCTTCCAGTACTGGTTATACTCTTCTTAGAGTGTTGACCGTGGTTCTGTTGAAACAGAATGTCCTACAGACAGTACGTGGACAACCTGATTGCTACATCTATACTGGCAACCATTCCATGTACTGTTTTTGTGTGATAAAAGAACCTTAGGACACATCGGAATAGGAATATGTTTTATTATTTATTTATTTTGTATTATGGAACTTTTGCCTATTTCTAGGTAAAAGGCTCTTCACTAAGGAATTTGGGTCATCATATGTACACAGTGTATCATGTGTAACAACTGGAGACCACCTAATAGAGGAATTTGGTTTATTTGTGTTTTGTTTTGAATACAACCATCTTAAGTGCAAATTACAGTTCCTGGAGCTTGATGGTTTAAACTATTTCCATGTGTTTATGAAAACATAAGCCTCAAGCAGCTGGGATGCTTAAAAATAAGACCCAGGTCTGTTATCTACGTGTGACTGATTAATTCCGAAAATGACCTACTGCCTCTGGCCGCATTGGCAATTAAGACTGTTAAGCAGTTATAGACGGTAAACTGTTCTTCCAATTAGGTTTTCAGTATTTTTATGTATACCCCATCTTACTCATAACAGCATTTATGTTATGGTACTGCTATAGTTCCTGCTTAGTTTTGGGTAGACTCTGGCATCTGGTCCTTTGATGTAACCAGGATGAATTTGATTGGATTTTAGGACTGCTTTCTCTCGGCCACGGCGTGGCCTTCTGTGTTTTCCTTTTATACATTCACAAAGATTGCGTCTGGCACCCTGATCTTTCCAATAAAGATACTGGCAATAGTTTTGCTTGGTTGCCCTTTGCTACATTCGGTCATTTATCTCCCAAGTATTCTTTACGTACTTGTAATGGTACACTGCAGTGGCTGGATGAGACCTTGCTGTAGAGTTCTTCATGCATTGACCATTGATTTATTTAGCCCATTACATTCCTTGATTATGGTAAAACCATAAACATCTTCCTAATATTAAAATAGTGTGCTTGGTGCTCAGATACTCTAAGCTCTAGAAATCTCTGTTCCAGTGGGAATAAGCACTACTGTGTGCTTTTCATGTAAGCATTGTAGAGACCATACAAAAAAATGTTTTTGTTTTTAGGGGGGCGGGGGGTCCTTTTAATTTTTTACTGTCCGTGTAATTTATTCTCTACTGCATATAACCTGCACCCTTTAATGTCTCTATATATTCTTCTCCTGGGGTTCCTAAATGTGGGTATGTTAAATCCACTGTCATTTCATTTAAAGCAGTGGAAATACTTAATTTCCCCCACCGATAAAAACATTTTACCCTTACTGCAAATTCCAATTTTGTTGGTTGAAAGAATTTTGGAGCTGAAATATTTATTAATAGTGGCCATTAATATTGCAATCTGTAAAAAAAAAAAAAATTATATATATATGCATGTCTAATGCCTTGTTATCTCTTTCTTTAATTGCAAATCCAATGCAATTATTGCATTCTAATGGCAGTTGGTGTTAACAATGTATTGGCAAAGTTCTAAGTTATTAACTATATACGGTATTCTGACCTATTCGACTCTAAATCAACCTTAATGCAGCTGTCTCCAGCTTAGTGTTTTTATCGATCTTTTTATTTCTTTGGTTCTTAACATCTATGAGTGTGGCTAATGTTTCTTGGAAGGTGTGAATGCAAGTTGTTAAGAGCGATCATCATTACGAATTTAAACTGTAATTACAAAGGTGAAACAAATTGCACACTAGCGACCATGTTTCCGCTGCTGGTATTAGGATAATCTGACGCAGGCTCTGTTCTTGGATTCTGTTTGTCGCCAGTCCAAAGGGCAAATCTTCTGTATAAACAGTCTGAATATTGGCAATTATGACTCATGAAATTAACTTACCCTGACAATGTTTTCTCCTTCAGTTGTTTAATACACTACAGTTCGGCGTACTGTGTATTTTATAATTGTATTCATGTCTCATGTACGTATATTAGAGATGCACAGATTCCTCTCTGTTTACACAAGACACACTGGGAGAGCTATATGAAAGTGTCAGAATTGTGATAGAATTGGTGCAATTGTGAAACAGTTGGAAAAATACATATATTATAGCCCAAAGATAACAAATATCCACCTCCCCCACCCCCCAAAAAATAAATTTTTGACAACTGTGACAAAGTAGAAGTGGATGTGGCTTATTTAAGAATTTCAACTCACCTGATTAAAACTACAAAAAAAAAATAAACTGAGTTTTTTTTGTTTTTGTTTTTCTGTGTGTGGGTGTATGTATTATATAATTGGCTTACAACTGTAGAATTTAATGCTGGTGTATCCAGGGGCTCTTTGTTACATTCTATAATAAAATTACTCTTATTTACAATATGGTCACAAATCCATTCTGAAATGTTATGAAATGTTTTAAAGGGACAGTAAAGTTTTTTTTTGTTTTTTTCCAAAAAGTGTATTTGTATGTAAATAGCAAGTTGTGGGTGCACACAGGATTATATATGCATTTAAGTGAAGAAAATCCCTCACTTACTAAAAAAACATGTAGCCGCAACACCAAAATTCAATAAACATGGATATACTGGTTTTTATCGTACTTATAGCAGTTCAATAGGTCCAATAACAGGGTTACTTTCTCGGTGCTGGGATCCTCCCTGTAATCAAATGATACTTCACAAAGGACAAGTTTGTTGATCCGCACTCATAGGAAATCCCCAAAAATACATCAGGAAGAAATCATAGAAAAAAAAATGCAAATTTTTTTGAAGTCAAAAAGAAAATCAATATGGCAAAATACTAGAAAAGCAGTGCTAATGTATGCTGTATTGGTCCAAGCATGTGAACAAAATATAAAAAGTCAAACCTGTGCGTTGGACCACCCGCAGCTGCTGTACAGGGGGGAGAGCACCAAGGAAGCCGACCCTAAAGAAAGATTAGAGAAGTCCTGATCGTGTTTCGCACCATTCCGGGTGCTCTCTCAACATGAGCATGTCGTGAAAGCACCCGGAGTCGTGCGAAACGTGTCCCGGGCTTCTCTAATCTTTCTTTAGGGTCGGCTTCTTTGGTGGTCTCCCCCCTGTAAAGCAGCTGCGGGTGGTCCTATGCTCAGGTTTTGGACTTTTTATACTTTAACTCACAGCCTTTATTTTATTTTATTTTTTTTCCCTCTTTCCTTAATTTTTCACATGCACGTATACAGCATACATGAGGACTGCTGTTTTATTATATTGCTATATGTATTTTCTTTTTTTGACTTCAATAAATGCATTATGCATTTCATTTGATCTTAATGTTTGGGAATTTTTCTTTTAATTTTTTTTTTTTTAACTTTGCTGTCCGCTTTAAATGGTAAAGTGTGTTTGTAGGAATTTTAGTATGTTAAGGTTGCAAGAAGAAAAAGAAACCAGCTGTTCATGACTTTATATATTAAGAACATTAATTTATTAGGATATTTGTGAAAACCCTAAAGATCAGATTAATTTTTTTTTTATGATGAAAGTTAAAATCCTATTTAACTCCAGAGAACCTGAGACAGTTTAATGTAGACCTCCAGATGAATTATATAAAAAAAAAAAATCAAATCATGGAGTGCTCCTTAATTGTATTTTACCTGGTATTGTATATTATTAAATGTACTTTATGAAATATGATGCTGACATAAATTTCATATCATAGGCCTGAGCTTTAAAACGTTTTCGGTTATATTTTGAATGGTAAAATGGATTTCATTTCTCTAAATCTCCATTTTGTTTTTGTTTGTTTTTTTTATACAGTAATATGCTAAATTGGGGCTACATTAAGGCAGATATAGAGTAGATAAAAAGATCTACCTAAAACATTTAAACGATAGGCACTACAAAGTACTGACCAGTCTATATCCTCTCCTGATACAGCCCTTTGCCGTGACGTCTGCTCTAATAAAACAGCCTACTTGGGTGTCATTGCATGCCGGTCATCGCGGCCCCCTACAGAGACATGTGGTGTTGCACAGGACTTTGCTCAGGAGCACTACTGCTCAGGAGAAGAGACTGTCTGGGCACTTAATCTACAGTGAATCACATTTAATAACACTCAAATGCCCTAAATCAGTTGTCATTATTCTTATTTGGAAGAGACACAATCTTTACATAAGGGAAACTTGATGACACATTTGTTAGATTTAAGTTGGCTCGATGACCCATATAACAAATTCTGTTAAGCAAAACACCTCTATTAAACTCTTTTGAGCGCTGGAATGATCTCCAACACACGTGGACTGCCATGTTTTTTTCACAAATTCTCTTCTTGTATACTAATAAGATGTTTCTGTCCCAAGTATTTAGGGACACAACCTAATAGCAACATGGACCCAATATTTGGTCTTGAACAAGTTGTAAAGAACACTGCCTTAAAGAAAGACATTTCATGCTGCTTTAGAAATTAGATGAAATTCAATGGTTGTCAAAGATGGATCACTTTTATTTTCAAAAATGTATAGGGAAGGAGGAGACAGATACAGAGGTAAATGGAAAATAATGGCTTTCTTGGAATAGATTTGAGATGAGCATTGGGAATGTTACTACATCTTTTAATCAGAATGTTATAGTATGTGGTGCATAATGGTACAATTAAATAATATAATATGGGGGTGGGTGACTTTCCAGACTGATAATTAGGTATTAAAAAGATTGGGGAAGAGGCTACACTAAAGTGGGGATTGAATAAACTGGGGAGATTGCTAACTAAAGCGTTTACAGAATTGTGTTATGGGGGGTGGTGGGGGGAATAAATAAATGGGGAGACTGCAAAATAAATAAAAACCAAAGGCCCAAAGGGCAATCAAAAGACTGACAGGAGATTTTTTTTGGGGGGAATGGATGATAAATATGTGGGAGAAGATAAAAAGGAGAGTAAAAATGTGCGACAACTGACGTGAACCAGACAAAAATAAAAAGGACACCGTAGGCACAGTAAGTGATTTTGCTTTGAAGTAGTTAGTGTCTGGAGCCCCCTGGCACTGCATGTCCGTTCAGTGTTAAACCATTTTTTTTACTATTTTCTGAGAAAGCTGAGTCCACAGCAACATATCTCCTCTGTGACTCTTGAGATAATGACTAAGCATTACCCTGAGAAGCAATGGACAGCTGTGATTGGCTGTGAGTGTCAGCTTTCACAGTGCCCATTGGTGGAATAAATTGGTACGGCTAAAAGGACTATGCTGTGGGTGGCATGTAACCCAATTCAGTAACTGCTCAAAAATAGCTGAACGCTGTATGGTATGTATTCATTTGTACAGACACCTAAGGTATATGTAGTGGCTTACAAACTGCATCAAACACGCAGGTTGTATTACCTCTTTGGCTCATTCCATAAAGTTACAGTGAAAATAAAATCTTTGCCCCAAGAAAACAAATTTTTTTAGTGAATATTATTTTTTTATTTTAAAAATATTTAACAAAATATTACATTGTTTTTGTGAAAAAAATATATATAATATTTGGGTTTTCAACCAAATAAAGGTTTTGTTTTTTTCTAAGTTTAGCCTTTTTTTTTCTAGGCCTCCGTAGAATTTCTAGGCCTGCGTATGTATTAAGTGTACTTGTTAATAATTATAAAAAAATGTAAAACATTAAACTTAACTTTCATTATATCAATGTAAAAGAATATCACCACCGTATTCCACAGCATTTTACAATTCTAATGTGCGGATAAAACTGCAAATAGGAGGCAAGCCCATTAGAAAATATTAACAAAAACCATGTAAATAAAATCTCTGGAGCTAGTTTACAATCTAACTTGCTCATAGTATTCATAATTACATTGAGTCCAGATTAACGCTGTACCCATCTCAAGATTTATTGTACAATGTATTCTTTTGATATAATGCAATGCTTGCTTATGAGAAGTATTTGATTGGATGCACTAGACGCCCACTGCACATGAACATAATGTCCCTAATTCTCCCCTCTGAGGAGCATTTGATTGCTCAAACAGCTGCGATGCAACAACTTGAGTGTTCGTTTTAATTTATCATGTAGCACATTTACAAAACGGTTTGTTAAAAAACATGAAAGACATGACAGGTGGGAGACAAATCTTGAATTGTGTCTGTGTATCTCTGCACTTTAAAAAAAAAAAAAAAAAAAGAGCCAAGAACTATGCTAGTCTAAGTACATTTTGTGTTATTGAGCTGCTTGCGGTTGTCAGTATATTGGTGTCCAGCTGTCTGTTACTAATGAAAAAATACACATGTGGAAGCACTTGTGTAATTTTTTGGATGTGGATGTAATAGGCAGCAACACGGCCAAACCTGGAGTCTTTCTTCCTGGCCGGTTAAGGTTGCGACCTGTAAATCTCAGGAAGGATATGAAAAATAAATAACAGAGAAAATCCAATGGTGTAGTTATGTTAATTAAGGTGGGGAATTATTTGTGAGATATATGCACTTACACATTTCAGAGCTGTAACTCAGCAAGTGCATTTGCACAAATGCACCTGAGAGGTATAATCCCAATTTACAGATTTAATGAAGTTTCTCCTCTTATTTGGTTTCTCAGTGGGGTATAAAATAAGATCAAACGGGAAGACACTCTGTATTGTCTAAATGAAAAGCAAGTTGTCTGGAACAAACCTTCAGAATGTGATCCTTTCTTAAAGTGCCATGTCAGTGGGTGATGATTCAGCCCCTTAAGGCTTTAATCAAATGTTAACATATTTTTTATATAAGTGGTATTTTATTCCACCAGATTACATTAGTTTAACTCGTTTTCATATCTGGAATATCATTTACGTAGCTACACAATTAGACTGGTCTGCATACAATTGCCTGCCACTGCTTTGGTACTCCAACTCTTGCATCGTGTTGAGTTATATGTACACATTCCAAAGTCAGAAATGTAGCGTAGGAGTTATGGGGGTTTTTACAATAAGCATTCTTCACTTATCCATTTCTACGATCTTCAGCATTCAACCACGCTATGTGCTATTGCTAAATTCTCTGTTTTGCAACTTAACTTTTTGACTATTTCTGTGATTCTTGCTTGTCATCTTCACATTGGCCTGTTACGTTTGTTGGCGGTGCCTCTCCCTCATGGTGACTTTAAATTCAAGTGCCACATTTAGAATCACTTGTAGATGTTTTGTTGATTGTTGTGCACAAACCAGTGACACAACAACACAACTGACCAAGACACAGTTTTGCCACCAATAATCCATATAAAATAAATTATTTATTTATAGGAAGAGGATTGTCATTATGGGTGTAATTAAAAAGAAAAGTGGTAGTGTGTATATATTATTTCATTCTTTGTTTCATTTCCAACCCAGTATGCTGGAACACAGAAAACAACAAAAAAAATTTCAGGTTCCAACTACTAATGGTCCTACACTGTATATTGGGTCTTCATCCTCTTTCGAAGACGTTACAGAATATGAAACGGGTGAAAATCCATCTCTGAAACTACAGACGATTCCTCAACAGAATGGGTGAGTAACATGCTTGTTTTATTCTGTAACACTTGACTAAATGCTTGATGTTATCTACAGTTCATGATGAATCTATATTGTTGTTACCTCATTTAGTTACTGGCAATTGTATAGCGCTGGACACCCAGATAGGTAAAACTACCAATGCTGTGAAGCTAAAACTGGTATTTTGTGATAATTATTGACCTTAGATTTCGGCTATCTGGGATTAAATGCCTATATATTTTTATTTTATTTTTTTACTAATTTTACTGGTAATGTAGCAGGAGGTTAATTTGTAACCAAAATACAAAGTGCCGAGGAGCCCAGTAGATCAACTCACTTCCGAGTGTCCTGGAACTGAGATCTTTGACACACTCTTCCTTGGTGTTTTTTTTGGATGGAGAATGCTTGCGGACATGTACTTTCAGTCTCCATATTTACCAGAGTAGTCTGGGGGGAAAAAACATAACAGGGACTTTTGTGTCACCCTTACTGTAACCAACTACTGTATGGATTTCCCCACTCTTAGCAAGTATGTGGGGATATCCAGCAGTTTTAAGTGGATACTAGTTCAATGTTCGTAATTTTTTAATTTTTGCTTATTGGCATGTCTGTGACTCCCAGGCTCCTTGTTTTAAGTTATAAAATTAACTATGAATAAGTCTTTACTTACCTTGTTTACAGTGCCGAGATTAACTTTGTGCTGCCCACCTCTTCATCTTCCGTCTTGTCTAGGTTGATTCCTTTTTGGCTTCTCCTCTTTGGATTCCTCTTTGGCTAATCATTATGGAAGGGAAGAGCATGTGTGGCACTCCTCCTGTCAATTACTTCTCATAGTGAAGCATTGAACCCAATGCTTCTCTATGAGAAGCATGATAGGCTATATAACAGGCTACTGCACCCAGACCAAATTTTAATGAAGTGGACGTGGTGAGTAAATCAGTCCATTAAGCTCTCCAGACTGATGTCATGATCATTAATCTTTCTTTCCTCTGTCATTGAATCTTGAAACCATTTGGTAATAAACAAAATTCATGCCAGGTGCCTGCATTTCACAGGAAATACTCCCTCGTCTTCCCCCCCATTAGACTTCCTGGGTGCCAAAAATTGGAGGAGGCACCGCTGAAACCAGGAAAGAGTTTTTTTCTCGAATGTAGGACACATGCACAAGATGTTACATTCCACTATGATGATAATGTGAATAGAGCAGTGGTTCTCAAATCAGTCCACAAAGGCACCCCTGCCAGTCCATGATTTAGGGATTGCCCAGTTGTGTCTAAGGTGTTTTTTTAGAAGAATATGAAATACAATTGTGGGTGCTTTGTGCCACTATCCAATACAGAGTTGTGCCCATAGGTGTGCTCCCAGACACTCTAATGCTGCCCAAATGCTAGACTGTTGCACAAGCCGACAGGAAGATCTTGACCGGCGTTAGGCTGCCAAATTCCCCAGATCTCAATCTGATTGAGCATCTGAAGGATGTGCTAGAATAACAATCCGATCTATGGAGGCCCCACTTAGCAACTTACAGGACCTAATGGATATGCTGCTAATGTCTTGATGCCAGGTACCACAGGACATATTCAGAGTCCATGTTTCGATGCATCAAAACTGTTTTGGTAGTGCGAGTGGGACCTATACAATTTTAGGCAGATGGTCCGTTCAGTGCCTTGGGCACCCATAACCCAGACCTCAGTTCACCTGTTTTTGTCCTTTCTACCACTTTTGGTAGGTACTAACCACTGCATACCAGGAACACCCCTCCCCCCCAAGACTTGGCATTTTGGAGATGCTCTGACCCAGTC